TCATAAAGAACCCATTTGCCATCACTGATGTCAGAGGGTTCTCAAAGGAAGTCACACAGCACTTCAAGTGGGCAAATGCTGGGCCTCTTCAAATGCAACTAATTGATCTCCAAGCAGATGTGGCCCTGAAAGAGCAGTTTGGAAGAACTGAACCTGCCACTTTCTGGCCCCAATTGGTCTCTGAGACAGCTTTCCCAAATCTGAGGAAAGTAGCCCTGTACATCTTGACCATGTTTGGCTCCACATACAGCTGTGAGGCAGCTTTCTCCACAATGAACATAATAAAAACTAAATATCGTTCCAGGCTCACCAATGAGCACCTACACACGTGTATGAGAATGGCCCTGACACCATTCCAGCCCAGATTTAAAATCCTTGTAGAGCAAACTAAAGCTCAATTCTCTCACTGAACAACAGAAAGTGGGGACCTGGAATATAAGGGGGTGAAAGAAAGAGAAACTGTAAAATTGTTAAAATGTTTTGATGTTATCTGTTGAAAATGTATTGAGACTGTTAAATCGAGATGTAAAATGTAAAGAAAAAGAAATTAAGCACTTTGTTTTAAGATGCACAATTTAGCCATTTCATTTATTTTCTCTAATTCATTTTAAACAGCAGCCCTATATCTAATGTAGGCCTACTGTGTGTTTCAGTGTTAACAATAAATGTTGTTGAAATGTTTTTAACTTGTATTTTCATTGATTTGACAGTCTATTGTTCATACGTTCAGATATAAATTTAAAAAAAAAAAGGTTGCTTCTCTATCACAATCATAACATAAGTTAGACATTATGATGTCCCGGACCTCTGCTTGAGAAGATTTTCTCCAACTGGACCTCCTCAAATTTTAGTTTAATACCCATTCCAGGATCCAGGTGTGAGGCCTTCTTGTAATCAATCCAGGCAGTGCACAGGTTGGTCAGCCTAATATGGCAGTCTCGACTGACTGCTTGGTCTACCAGTAGCTGGTGTTTTGCGCCTGTGGTATTCTTGCCAATTCCTTCCTGTGCCCCACTCATGCATTGAACCATGTGCCTGTTCATCTTAGCCGCTAAGATGCCTGACAGGAGCTTCCACGTGATACTGAGGCAGGTTATTGGTAGGTAGTTCGAGGGGACTGGTCCCTTCTGGGGGTCCTTGAGGATCAGGACTGTCCGGCCTTCAGTTAGCTATTGCGGGTTTCTCTCGTCAACTAGCAGGCCAGGCCTGGAGTATATGGCACTGTTTATTTGATGGCATGCCTCATCTGGCCCGATTGTGGTTTGGTTTGTGTGGCCCAGGCTCATAGAAAACAGGTCAAGCTGGCACTTCTGACTGACCGGTTTCATGGCAGGGTGTATGTCAACCAGTTGTGGGCCAGGTCCCGCAATGATGGCACTATTTATATTCCTATTTTCCTATTTTAGTTAGAAGACCCAAATGCCATATTGCAATACTATACTGTTATGGTTGCGAACGTTTCAAATGCTGGTTTGACAGGTTTGTGAGTGTACACTTTATCCAAAACCTAATGAGGGTTTACTCATGGTTATCACTGTGTGGCTGTAGCTGGTGGCAACCGCGTTCAGGAGGCCGTCCACAGTGATGATGTCCAGCTAGCTTCCTGGAAAGTGGCCGGCGATGTCAAGGTACCATATACAGGTGAGTCAGTGATGCTAGACTCGGACGTGCCATCCAAACTAGCCGTGGACTGGATGCTGGGCTGGCAGCTGCAGCAGCAGGTGGTGGCGCTGGAGACGAGAGTGTTGAAGCATCTGAGGGCAGCACAGCAGGCAACGGCATGGAAACCGCAGAGGGTGACACAATAGACATCTGAACGGACTCACCACAGTGGTCAGTGAACACAAGGAGGTGCTGGAGCAGCACCTTGGCATCTACAGTGTAAACAGAAGACTGGACGGGCCCCTCTGGCCCACCAGGGAAAACAGAACAGTGAAGCGATTCCTCGGTCCCTCTAGTGAAGACAGAAGGCTGACAGAAGTCCTCTGGCAGACATGGCGCAAAACCAGCAGGCACGGAGTTCCCTGGTGAACACAAAGCAAAACCAGCAGGGTTTAGTCCTCGGCTGGTTTCATAGCCCCCATGGGTCCAGAGTCAGCTGAGGGCTGAAACTCAGTCTCTGGGGAGGCCCTGGAGATAGTAATTGCTAAATGAAACAATCTTTGAGGAACCAGTTCCTTTTTAATATGTTTGTCTGTGCTCTGAATAGGAGGTAGAAAAACAATCCTTAATATGTTGCATTGCCATAGCTTGCTGTACTGAGACAGGTGAAAATGAAATCTGCACGGGTGGCAAAATAGTGGAATGAACAGATGAAAAGGCAGGTAACTGAACTGATAACTGAGCCACTGATGAAGTTAATGACTAACGTCTCAGCTATTGGCTTTGCTACAGACAGTGCTACATGCTGAGCTACATGCTGAGCTACATTCTGAGCGGCTGACTGAGCTACAGACTGGGCAGCTGAGTAGGTAGAGACCTGAGTGGCTCACAGAAGAGATAGCTGTACAGGTTGCACTGACAGAAGTGGAGCAGGTGAAGTGGGGAATCAACAGTAAATATTATCCCCTTTCACAAAACACACAGCCCCTGAGTACAAAGTCCCAAAGTCAGAAGCAGCATAATCAGTGTCCTGTACATTCACCACAGCAGGCGGCTTTGACGTCCCGAAGCCCAGCTGTGGGGTGATGCACCAATGGTGCAGACTCCACTTTCTCCTCGGCACTGGGGCAGACAGATCGGGAGACTCCATGTTTGCTGGGCCACGTGGCATCTCCTCCGCCGAGAGGGGCAGATAAGCGGTAGCAGCTGGGAGGTGAAGGTGAAGGGTGTTTAAGCAAAAATCCTGTAAGAGTGGATTGGTGAATCCAGTAGCCAGGGGAGATTGGAAATTAGCTGATGTAGCCCGGCCTCCAAGGCACGACAAAACTCCTTCCCCTCATGCTCTAGCCACAGGCTAATCCACCTCAAAACTGAGTCAATTAAATGGTAAATGGTCTGTATTTGCATAGCGCTTTTACTAGTCCCCAAGGACCCCAAAGCGCTTTACACATCCAGTCATCCACCCATTCACACACACATTCACACACTAGTGATGGCAAGCTACATTGTAGCCACAACCACCCTGGGGCGCACTGACAGAGGCGAGGCTACCGGACACTGGCGCCACCGGGCCCTCTGACCACCACCAGTAGGCAACGGGTGAAGGGTCTTGCCCAAGGACACAACGACCGAGACTGTGCAAGCCGGGGCTCAAACAGGCAACCTTCCAATTACAAGGCGAACTCCCAACTCTTGAACCACTATCACCCTAATTCCTCCCGGAGCTCCTCAGACGGTGCAAACGCTGCTGGGTCCATGTAATGGTTGGTTCGTACTGCCACATTTGCCAAGGCAAGCCGTGATGTGTTCGTGGAAAAGGCCCCAAAATGCAGGCAAAGGCTATAATGCAAGTGAGCGTTTATCTACAAAGAGGAAAAGTGACAAAAACAAGAAATGAGGAAATAAGTTTGTGAGGAAAATTATTAAATAACTTCCTGCTAATACACAACATTTCATTAAATTTCCTCTTAAACCTGTTTTGTCTGGCCATTTGAATTTCATTTGAATTTCCAATAAAGGACTCCAAAGAGTTTGGTGAAAAGAATGACAGTAGATGTTTGTGTTAAAGTGCTGGAGGCAAATTTCTTCAGCTTTTTCAGTGTTGCACTTTGTAGCTGGTCCCTGAGCACTGGTCTCACATCAAACTGCACAAAGAGACCAGTGTTGTTAGTCCAGGTCAGCAGATGACTTGTTGGAATGAAAATGAACTTGCAGTTTGTCTGCTTTAATAATGTGACTGGGAAAAAAAGTCCTGTTGGACTTCAAATTTGTCAATTTCATTCTACCTTCACCTTTAAAAGTGAAGCCATTTGGGTCCTTGAATGACTAACATGATTTTTCAAGTGTTTTTCAGGTTTTTATGATAAATGTATGACTTTAATGTAGAATATTCAGTTTTTTCTCTTGTTGTCTTTGTTTGAAGTTGCTTCCTGTTGACTTTAGCTGTTTGGCATTTCCATTTTCTAAACTTTTACATTCTGAGCCTTCTTCAGCTCTGAACAGATTATGAAACACTGAATGATTTCAAACACACACTTTGTCTAATAAACTTACCTCTTTCATTCTTTCTTTTTAGATTGGTCAGCTGCAGTCTTTCAGAAATCAGCTGTGATTATCTGGCAGCAGCACTGAAGTCCAACCCCTCCCATTTGACAGTGCTGGACCTGAGTGAGAACAAGATGCATGGTTCAGAAGTGAAGCAGCTATGTGGTTTTCTGGAGAGTCCAGGATGTAGACTTGAAACTCTGAGGTCAGTCACTATGTTTTAATTTTGCTGAGATGAATATGATGTGAAAGTGCTGACACTAAACTGCAGATGTAACCGGTGTGTTACTGTGTCTGACAATGGAAGGTAAAAGAAAGATCTCCAAGTAGATAACTTGCCCACACAAACTCCACTCCCACTGTGGAATTGTAGAGAAGTGACTGCATTTATCTTTACATTACACATAAAGTGCAAATCAATCAATCAATCTTTATTTATAAAGCACTTTTCATACAAAAAATGTAGCCCAAAGTGCTTTACATGGTTAAAAGCAGCCCACCCCACACTCTCATTAACATAAGCGATCATGAATACACACATCCCCCCCCCCACCAATAAAATAACTTTAAAATCGATCCTGAAACACATGGGGAGCCAATGCAGTGATTCTAAAACCAGTGTAATGTGGGCCCGCCCTCTGGTCTTCGTCAGCACACGAGCTGCAGAGTTTTGTAAAAGTTGTAAGGGTAAAATATTCTTTTTGAGGAGACCAGAGAATAGGGCATTACAGTAATCAATGCGACTGGTAATAAAAGCATGCATCAGCATCTCTGTGTTGGCCCGAGAGAGAATAGGGCGGACTCTGGCTATACAGTATTTTTTAGATGATAAAATCCAATTTTGGTTACATGTTTAATATGTGGGATAAAACCAAGCTCAGAGTCAAAAATAACACCCAGGTTTTTCACGTGTAGCGAAGGACATAGTGAAAATGCCTGTGATTTAGACATGAGTTTCTCTCTCTGAGCCTCAGGACCGATGATTAAAACTTCAGTTTTGTCCTGGTTAAGCTGTAAAAAGTTTTCTGCCATCCAAGATCTTATATCTAAAATACAGTTAAAAAGGGCATCCATTGGTCTGGTGTCATCAGGAGACACGGAGATGTACAGCTGAGTGTCATCGGCGTAACTGTGTAAGTTCACTCCATGCCTCCTGAT